CGCCGCTCCCGTCGCTCCTCATCGTCCCCCGCCAGCTGAGGGGCCGCCGCCGCCGTCGCCACGGTCTAGCCCGGAGCCCCTGCGGCGCGGCGCTCGGCGACTGCACTTCCGGCCCGCGCTCGGGTGTCGCCTGCAGATGCCCCCGCCGGCTCCCACATAACCTGTTCTCCGCCTCCCTCCCCGAGCGGGCGCCCAGCCCGCCCTCTCGGGCATGCGCAGAGGCCGCCGTCTGGGGGAGTCGCGCGACGGTGGCCGCGACGGAAAAGAGACCTCGGCGCCGCGGGCCCGGCGTTGCTCCGCAGCTGGAGGCTCAAGGTTTATCGAGCTCTTCCGGGAACTTGCAGGACCTGCCAATCAAATCCTGAACTTCCGGGGCGGGAGGAGCCAGGGCTGACCAGCTGCGAGGGCTGGAAGGAGACCACCTGGGGACGCAGTTTTTTCAGAAGAAATGGTTCTCCTGATAACGTATTAGGATGTGAGGTGAGTTCCAGAATTTAAAGTGCTATGGACCGTCAAGGGCACTTGTAGGTCCAAATCTGGGACAATTTGAGGACCCTTTAAAGAAAAACAATGCAGGGGCTGGGGATTTAGCTCAGCGGCACAGCGCCGGCCTGGCAAGCGGGAGGTCGTGAGTTTGATTCCCGGTGCCGGAAAAAAAAACAAAGAAAAAAGAAAAGAAAAACAATGCCAAACCTTTTTCTTTTCAATTTTCCGAAAAGCACAACATCTTGGGAACACGTTGGGACCCCTCCCGCAGCCTTAGACCCTAGAGTTTCATTAGCTTCACCGTCCACCCCTGTTGTACGAAACTTTACAGATGTCAGTCCCCTTCGGTCCTTGGTCATTCCCTATTCTATGCACCCTTTTTTATCTACGGAGGAAATTCCGTAAGTTCGTATTGTCATTTTTAAATTTTTTAACACACATATCTTACTACCAGGTAGAGAGCTCCCAGTCAAAGCTGGACTCCTTGACTCAGAGCTTCCAAATGTTAATACCTGGTAAGTGGCAATCACTAAAACACTCCATTTATATAAGTAATAACCACAACTCCAGATGACGCTTAGGAAATTGGTTCTCTTTGAGCTAAACACCTACAGCAACATAATGGCGAATGACTTTGAATTAATAAGGAGTTTGTCTAACTCCGGGTTCTCCTCCAGTGATAAAAAGTCCCACCTCCCACAATAGGGAGCTCAGCAGATGTTAACAAGACACAGATCTACGCAGACGCGCGCCCTTTCGTTGGACCAGCAACTGAAGCCTCTGACGCTGCTGGAAAGTAGGGTAAAATAAAGAAGTTGAATAGGAGGCTAGAAAAATTACTCCTCACCAGACAGACTCCTGGGGCTTTACAACATCATGGGTAATACCGGACAAATATTCAGGAGATATTAGTGAATTACAATTGCAAAGAAAATACGTTGCGCTAGAAGGAGTCCTAGGATCGAGTTCCACGTCAACTAGCACTGTGAACTGTCTCAGTTCTGCATGATAGACAATCCCCGAAGGCGCTTGACGGTTCTGAAAAGTTTTATCAGAGCCCACTGCAGCAAAACGTCACTTTCGTGTTAACACATTATTTATACTAAAAGGAAACAATTACGAGTTGTTTTTCCCTTTATCAGTAATTTCTGAAGTCTCTGTGCTGGAGCGGGACAGATCACAGCAAGATTTCAGTGGAAAGCAACGTCGCCTTGAATAAAAAAGCACGGGATTTGTTTCCATCTCTCAATCTTGAGTGTGTAGCACAGTTACTGTTTCGTGGGTGCTCAATAGAGCTTTCTCAGGTTTACTTTGAACCCTTGAACGTGTGTTAGAGCCCATGGAACTGTTTATTATATGTTTTATACATGATGCATGATGTGAATCATTTCTGTACTAAGAAAGAAGAACTCAGATCACACTTGTGCACATCATAAAAACAAGTAGTCTGAAATCATTTCGCAAAAGCCTGTTTTTCTGCCGAAATAAAACAGCAGGTATTTTGGCAGAGAGCACATCCTCTTCTGTCTTGGGTGCTTTCACAAGGGAGCTGCGAAGTAGGAGTGCGGTTGCCAGTTTCACATGCAGAGAACAAGAACTCTAAGAGGCTGTCACTTGCTAGGAAGAGCCTAGGCTCGGGGTTCTGTTAAGAAATCAACGCACAAAATGTTTTGCTCAGCGAAGAAATCTAGTCGAGCGTGGGTTGACCGCTTGCAAAGAGCGCCTGCTCTAGCAGCGAAGCTGAGCTGCGGTTGTGCTTCCAATTCCAACCTGCTCAGCTGCTCCCTCTGAGAAGAAATCCGCGTTGCTGCGCCTGCGCATACCGTCCCATGACTTCCTGCCCGAACCGCTCTGCCCTCAGAGCTCCAAGTGCGCATGTGCGGCGAACAGCTGGCGGAAGCTGTATCTGTCCCAGATAGCTTCCGGTTTGGTGGCGGTAGCTCAGACTGGACACCGGGTGTGCGTTTGTGCGGCAGGTTTGTGCGGGTCGGCGAGTGGGAATCTGCATGGAGAGGGTCAGCGAGGACGTGGCCTGGAGTTGCAGGTCCCAGCCTGTCTTCTTGGTGTGGGGGGTGGGACCACCGTCCGTCTCTGTGACTCTCAGCAACTGTGGTGCCTGCTTCGCTTGCCTGGGTTCTGATTCTGAGCGCTCCCCGGGATCCCACGTTATGGATGGGACTCGAGCTTACAGAGGGTGTCCACCCGAGTGCTGAAGGATGTGGGGGAAAAAGACATTTATTGTGATCGAAGTGATGTGGACCTCTTGGGATTTTGCAAGAAGATACGGGTGGAAGTAGAGTGGGGGACACTGTGGTCCTGGAGGTGACGGGTGCTTTATGGCTCTCCTGCAGCCTCTTGGTATTGTTATACCACTAATTCCTTTCCACGACTTTCTCCCAAAACGTCAGCGGCTGCCGGGGAAGTTAGGCTACTGCAAAACAGCTGTCTCCGAGGAACACACAACTCGTCCAGGGTGGCGTGAAGGGGACTCCAGGTGTGTGTTCTCCTTTTCTCCAGTGAGCTAGCACTTAACCGTCTTTCATGGTCCCTAAACGAAACCTGCTTCTCTGTTTGCTTGTGGCACTTGCGGCAGCCTCTTCCCTTCTCCCGTACTTACCTACGTAGTATTTTGAGGTATTGGATTTTCAGCGTTGCTTGGATCAGCAAGCATTCGTGTATTGAAATGTGAAGGATTTACTAATGTCAAGTACTCTTTTAAAAAGCAGCTTACATAGACTCTCTGATTTCACTGCCATCCTAATTTTGACATTTTTTACCCCATTTTACACTTGGGGAAGCTGAAGTTTACTTGGAAAAATCAATTTTGCCACATTCCATAGCTATTAAATGTCAGAGCCCACATTTGAACTAAAATTTATTATACTCCAGAGCCTGAGCTCTAAGAACAAACCTTTTTTGTCTTACCGCAAATGGACAGCATTGGCTAAAAACCTCATAATCCAAAAAATAAAATTGAACATCATGTAAAAAAAAAAGAAAACAGAAACACTTTTTTTTTTTTACTTTTTTATGCGATTGCAGTGAGCAAAAACCTTTGTCTATTCATTTTATGCTAATTTTGGAATACTTGTTATGTATACACATAACCATTTTAGGATACGTGTTTATCCAGTCATTACCTACATTTGTTATTATTGTGAAGTAATTTAAAGCTTTGCCTGCAAATTGTTGAGGAAGACTGAGACATAGGCTCTAGAGATAGATCTGTAACAACTACATACCAGTACTTGAGCATTCAGCATGCAGTTCCTAATACACTTCATTTTGCACGCATCATGCATCAGTTGTGAACATAGCATTATGTATTGTGATGTACCCACTTGAGGGAGCCAGGTGGCAGTCGGTTATCCAATGAGATTCAGCAAGGGGAAGCCGTTACTGTAATCAAAGATGAAAGTCTCAGGAAAGTGGTCTCTGGTGGGTTTGCCTTTTGATCTAACCTACTCAGTAGAAATTGGGTTTCCTATGTCACAAGTTAGACTGAGGAGAGCAGTTTTTTTTCTGTTGTCTGTCCCCTCCCCGCACCCCTATAGGTTGCTAAGTGGCTGCGATGAACCATTACCAAGGCAGTCAGAGGAGAACTGTATCCCACCCCTATTTCTGATTTTAAGCTTCAGTGAAAAGGCTCTTTTGCGAGACATTTTATGTAGCTAACACACTCAGCGTTTCATTATAATTGCCTCCTATTATGTCCCTTTTTTTGTTGTAGAATGTATGATTTTTTAAAGCAAAAACATACCGGATTTGTCATAGTACAAGTGCCTGGCCTATATGTAATTACTAAATATTTGGAGAATACCTGACATGAGAATATAAATGAAAAAAATATGTACTGATGAATTTATAAAGCTGTAAATAACTATAATAAATTAGATAGGAAAGTAAAGTGGGGACATGGGGAGGGTATTTTGAGATGGGTTTTGAATGCTGGAATGATTTGCAGAGATGAAGATAAACAGAAGTGTAAGCTTTGTTTAGTTGGACAAAGAGGGTACCTTTTGTTTTCTGTGAAGTGGAATCTGTTGTTAGGATTTCAAAGTCCTAGAATTTCAAATTTCAATTCCATGATTGGGTGATTTGTTATAGATGTCTATTTTATTTTAAAGAGAAAAAAATAAAAACAATGATACAGAATTTTAAAACAAGATAATAGAAAATTAACAATGGTTATTATATTGCATATTGTTATCTTCAAAGTAGATGCTCAGATTACAAGATACAGGCATGCAAAATTGATCAAACAATATAAGCACAAACTGTTCCTTTTAATGAACCAATAAAAATTAGTCTATCTTTGCTATCCTTGTATATGTATATATTCTTTTTCCTTTCTTCTTTTCTCCTTTCCCCCATCACAGTTGTTTTTTCCTTTTGAGTAATTTCTTTCCCTTTTACGATATCTGTTGTACGTTTTGGATTTTACTTACTCTTTCAATTTCTTATGCTAGTGAGACAATATGATGTTTACATACAACAGTCTGGTTTATTTCACTTATGAATATGCTATCTGTTTAAATCAATTTACCTATAAAAGCCTTGAGTTTATCCTCCTTTATAGCTGAGTAATACTCCTTTGTATAAAAATACCACATCTTTTTTATCCATTCCTCTGTTGATGGGCATTTGGGTTGTTGCCAAGATTTAGCTACTATAAACTGTGCTGCTATAAACATGGGTGCACATATATTATTGTGGTATGCTGTGAAAACATCTATTTTATGCAGTTAGTTTGGAGTGTCACATAAAAGTCTGAGAAAAGAGATATGAAAGGAGGACCTTACTTCAGAAGACTAGAAATAAAAGTATACTATGCTTGATTTTTTTGTTTTCATTACTATTAGCAATCTTCTTTTGAATTGTACACTAAATAATCAAGTGGTAGAGTAGTGAACTCAGTGTATCTTGGCATTTAGGGAAAAACAAAATGTTTTTTCAGTATTATAGGAAGTGGGCATGGTGATACTTCTGATGAATACTAATTAAGAGAAATACTAACTATTAAATGGAGTTGATAGCATTGATCTATTTTCATTGAATAGACATTTGTAGACATTTATTGTGATCCAGATGAACTCTGTAAGGTTATTAGTGTTAAATATGTAGTTGAATTTTATCTTTGACTTAAAAGTTATTCTTTTTGTGTTATTAGGTAAATCAGAGGATTCACTGTCTCTTCTATGGCTGCCTCACAAGGTGCACAGACTGTTGCATCTCATGTTCCCTTTGCAGATTTATGTTCAACTTTAGAACGAATACAGAAAAGTAAAGGACGTGCAGAAAAAATTAGACACTTCAAAGAATTTTTAGATTCTTGGAGAAAATTTCATGATGCTCTTCATAAGAACCAAAAAGATGTTACAGACTCTTTTTATCCAGCAATGAGACTTATTCTTCCTCAGCTAGAAAGAGAGAGAATGGCTTATGGAATCAAAGAAACTATGCTTGCTAAGTTTTATATTGAATTGCTTAACTTACCCAGAGAAGGGAAAGATGCTCTTAAACTCTTAAATTATAGAACACCGACCGGAACACGTGGTGATGCCGGGGACTTCGCCATGATTGCATACTTTGTGTTGAAGCCAAGATGCTTGCAGAAAGGCAGTTTAAACATACAGCAAGTCAATGAACTTTTAGACTCAATTGCCAGCAATAATTCTGCCAAAAAAAAGGACCTAGTAAAAAAGAGTCTTCTTCAGCTTATAACTCAGAGTTCAGCACTTGAACAAAAGTGGCTTATACGGATGATAGTGAAGGATTTAAAGCTTGGTTTCAGTGAGAAAACTATATTTTCTGTCTTTCATAATGATGCTGCTGAGTTGCATAATGTCACCACAGATCTCGAAAAAGTCTGCAGGCAACTCCATGACCCCTCTGTTGGACTCAGTGATATTTCTATCACATTATTTTCTGCCTTTAAGCCAATGCTGGCTGCCATCGCAGATATTGAGCAGATTGAGAAGGACATGAAGCACCAGAGCTTCTATATCGAAACGAAGCTCGATGGTGAGCGCATGCAGATGCACAAAGATGGAGATGTGTATCGGTACTTTTCCCGGAATGGATATAACTACACCGATCAGTTTGGTGCTTCTCCCAGTGAAGGTTCCCTTACCCCCTTCATTCATAATGCATTCAAAACAGATGTGCAGACCTGTATCCTGGATGGTGAGATGATGGCCTACAACCCCAATACACAAACTTTTATGCAAAAGGGGAATAAGTTTGACATTAAAAGAATGGTAGAGGATTCTGACCTGCAGACTTGTTACTGCGTTTTTGATGTATTGATGGTCAATAATAAAAAGCTAGGACGTGAGACCCTGAAAAAGAGGTATGAGATTCTTCATAGTACTTTTATACCAGTATCAGGTAGAATGGAAATAGTCCAGAAGGCACAAGCTCATACTAAGAAAGAAGTCATTGATGCATTGAATGAAGCAATTGATAAAAGAGAAGAGGGAATCATGGTCAAACATCCTCTGTCCATTTACAAGCCAGACAAAAGAGGTGAAGGGTGGCTAAAAATTAAACCAGAATATGTCAGTGGACTAATGGACGAATTGGACATCTTAATTGTGGGAGGCTATTGGGGGAAGGGCTCCCGGGGTGGGATGATGTCTCATTTTTTGTGTGCTGTAGCGGAGAAGCCCCCTGCTGGTGAGAAACCAGCTGTGTTTCATACCCTTTGTCGTGTTGGCTCAGGGTACACCATGAAAGAACTGTATGACCTAGGTTTAAAGCTGGCCAAATACTGGAAGCCTTTTCATAAAAAAGTGCCACCAAGTAGCATTTTGTGTGGAACAGAGAAGCCAGAAGTGTACATTGAACCTTGTCACTCCGTCATCGTTCAGGTTAAAGCAGCAGAGATTGTCCCCAGTGAAATGTATAAAACTAGCTGCACGTTGCGTTTCCCGAGAATTGAGAAGATCAGAGATGACAAAGAGTGGCATGAGTGCATGACCCTGGATCAGTTAGAGCAGTTGAGGGGGAAGGCGTCTGGGAAGCTTGCATCGAAACATCTTCACGCGGGCGATGATGATGAACCTAAGGAAAAAAAACGGAAAGCCGCCCCCAAGATGAAGAAAGTCATTGGAATTCTTGAACACTTAAAAGCACCTAACCTTTCTCACATAAGCAAAGTTTCCAACATATTTGAGGATGTAGAGTTCTGCGTTATGAGTGGAACAGACAGTCATTCAAAACTTGACCTGGAGAACAGAATTGCAGAATTTGGTGGTTATATAGTACAAAACCCAGGTCCCGACACGTACTGTGTAGTTGCAGGCTCAGAGAACATCAGAGTGAAAAACATTATTTCCTCAGATAAACATGATGTTGTCCGGCCCACATGGCTTCTAGAGTGTTTTAAGGCCAAGACCTGCTTGCCATGGCACCCTCGCTTTATGGTTCACATGTGTCCATCCACTAAACAACATTTCGCCCATGAATATGATTGCTATGGTGACAGTTATTTTGTTGACACAGATTTGAGTCAGCTGAAGGAAGTGTTCTCTGGGATTAAAGATTCTCACTACCAGGCCCCTGAAGAAATGGCCTCTGTGATTGCGGATTTAGAGTATCGTTACTCCTGGGACCAGTCTCCTCTCAGTATGTTTCGACACCACACCATCTATTTGGACTTATATGCTGTTATTAATGACCTCAGTACCAAAATTGAGGGAACAAGATTAGCGATTATGGCTTTGGAGCTGCGATTTCATGGCGCAAAAGTAGTTTCTTGTTTAGCAGAAGGTGTGTCTCACGTGATTGTTGGGGAAGATCAGAGTCGGGTTGCAGATTTTAAAGCTTTTCGAAGGACTCTTAAGAAAAAGTTTAAAATTTTGCAAGACTGTTGGGTGACTGATTCGATAGACAGAGGTGAGTTAGAGGAGGAAAGGCAGTACTTGATTTAAAGCTAGCTTGTTAGTGAGGAAAACCTTGAATTCTGCACACTCATTGGAACAATGAAAATGATAAATTTTATTTTTATAGTTTCAGTGTGTACTTCTTTTATTAGATGTATGAAGACAAAAAAAAAAAAATTTAAGATGAAAAAGCAACTGAATGATCCAAAGCCAGGCAAGAAATTCTGTCACTAGTGTATATTTTATGGTTTTTTTATAATAAAGATGAAACAGATGAAGAACGTTTATATCCATATGGAAATTTAGTATTTTGACTCAGGTATTAATAAAATACATTAGGGAACCTTTAGAATATCAATCTTCTAAGTAGTATTTTTCTGAAATCTAAAAGTTTTAATAGTTTTTGTCTAATTAAGGTATTTTAAGGAAAAAAGGTAGAATTGTTGTTTGCCCTGTGAAAACACATCCTTTTACTTGAGGCCAGAATGCCTCTTTTAAAAAAGTGAAATGTAAATAAATTTATTTTTTAAGAATTTAAATTATTTAAGGTCGATGTGTATAGTGTATATTAAGTCTGAATTTATATAACAAATTGTCCAGTGTACTCTACATTCAAAAATATATGTGTATAACACTCTAGAAATGAAGGGAATTTGAAACCTGAACTACGGTATGTAAATTATTTGGAAGTAGAACAAATGTATGTCATTTTGTTATACTAATTTAAATAAAATATTTAATATAGTGTTAATTTATGTTCTACTTATAGTTTATTTTCAAGCAGTTATAATAGTTATTTCAGTAAGATTTTATAGTGTCAATACAATTTTAACTGGTTCTGATGAAGTTCCTCTTTGAGGACCCTTGTATTTCACATTATTGAGTGAGCTTTATTAAAAACTGAAACCAGATGTGGTGGTACATGTCTAATCTAAGCACTCAGGAGGCTGAAGCAGGAGGATCACTGTGAGTTTGAGGCCAGCCTGGGCTCCATAGTGAACTCAAAGTCAGCCTGAATTACACGTCAAGACCATGCTTCAGAAAGAGAGAGAGGAAGAGGGAAGAAAGAAAGAAAGAAAAGAAAGAAAGAACAAAAGAAAGAAAAAAGAGAAAAAACAAACCTTCAAAATGAATTCAGGCATGGTGTCACAAAACACATGTTATAGTAAGGGAAAAATTCCAAAACTATCATCAAAGACAATATTTTTCTATTTTAAGTTATCTGTAGTAAGGAAAGTACAAAACAACTACCTAGGGTAAGAATAAAAAAGCTAAGTGTAGTGCTTTAATTAGCTCTTGTCTCTTAATGAGAATATTTGCAGGTCACTAGAATATACTGCCATCCTGTTTAATTACTGTACAATGCTCATTGAGTGTACTGTAATGTATCTTGCTAATACATTACTATTCAAATTTTAGGTTATTCGTCATGCAGCCCTCACCTTTGTTTTGTTTTCCTGTCAAGCGGTGTGATAAATCTTTGTGCATGAGTCCTTATTAGTCTGTTAGGATACATTCCTAGGAGCAGAGATGCTGGCTCAGTGTTAGGTATTTTTTAGTGACTTTTGATGCCCACTGAAAAATCCTGGCCAAAATATGTTGACTCTTCTTATCTTCCTTGAACCTAAGTGTTGAACAGTTCAGCTGCGCAGTGCTAGACCTGTTCTCTGTCTTTATTCACTTAGCTGGTATTTTTCTGTCCTATGGCTTTTAACCTGCTGACAGCCCCCATCTTCCTGCGCCCCAGTCTCTCACCTGGGCCACAGTTGATACACCTTAACTAAGCAACATCTCCCTGTGAAAACTCTAAGAGGAATCTCAAATTTAGCATGTCTGACGGCTCTTTTAAAAAGTTTCATTAAAGGAAAACTAACAGGCACAGGGTAATAGTATAGTCAGCCTGCACGTGCACATCACCCAGTTTGAGTAACTGTCAGTGATCCCCTTTTCATAGTCACGTGCTTCTAGGTTAACATTAGGTGACATGATTTCATCTGTGCATATTTTATGGTGGAACCCTTCTCAGACTTAGGCTGTCTTCCAGCATTTCCCCTGCTCGCTAAATGATACGGTTCTCCTGACACTCCGTCTGAGTCACATCTCTCTGACCCACAGCAAAGCTTGTCAGATTGGGCTTCTACGTATGTTCCAGATGTGACCTTTTCCCACTTACGCCATTCTTCCTGGGCTGTCTCAGAAGCCTCCTTAGCTGGTCTTTCAGCTGGGTCCTTAATCCTTTATGTTCTGTTCTCTGCAACACAGTTTTTACTTTTAGAGAAGGAAGTCAGATTGTGTTACTCTACTGCCTAAAATCACTGGCTTGCCCTCATGACACCCAAAATCTCTGACAGGGTCTGTTGGACGTCATGACCTCTTCTAGTTTGGTGCTGATTTCTTAACCTGCCAGTGCTCCCTCCCACCTGCTCACACACTTAGCCCTACTGGCCTACTCTTGCTTTCCCTTTGCACTTCTTTTGTTTATCCCACCTACACCCCCAGGACTTACTGACCTTTTAGTGTGCTCTATTTTTCTAAGGCCCTGCATTTCCCACTGCCCATGTAGAAACTCCAGGAAAACACTGTTTTTTTTTGTTTTTGTTTTTAGTTATTCTTTCACTATTCTGAGGCAGGCTGAGAAACATACTTTGTATTATCCAAGGCCACGCACACAAGTTCTTTTTTTTTTGTTTTTTGTTTTTTGTTTTTTGTTTTTCTTCCAGTACCAGGAATCGAACTCACGATGTTGCACTTGCCAGGCAGGTGCTGTGCCGCTGAGCTAAATCCCCAGGCCCCACACAAGCTCTTATCTGCATGCTTCAGTGACTTAGGACTGACCTGCAAATGCTCATTTCTTCAAGCTGAGGGCACTGCCTTTGGAAATAAGTTCGGCTGGAGAGGCTGCTTCAAACTTGTGCTGCAACTGGGATCTGAATGAATAGGGCTGCTTTCAGTCCTGGGCCCCTCACTTTTGGGAAATGAGCCAAGTTTAAAATGTCAGCACTAAAGCCACTCATTTTCAACCAGTATACTAAATTCTCTCTTTGATAATCATTTGGGTGAAAAGCTGACTAAGGAACTCAAGGGATTCATTATGTGCTGATGATAAAGATAACTCCAATGCAAAAATTAAGTGCTTTTTGGTTAAGGATGGGAAGGGTGGCCCTAAAAAGCCATGTGGTACAGGGAAAAGAACACAAGTTCCGTCATCAAGTCATCCTACACTCAATTCCAGTTCCACCAACAATTATGTGTTATTTTGAGCAATGACTACCTCTCCAAACCTTAGTTTCTCCGTTTTTTAAATTAAAATGACACCTTTCCCACAACAATGTTCGAGGGCAGACTTACAGCATCCACCATATACTAGTTTTTCTCCAGCTTTTTATCTGCTAGTCTTAGTAGACCCTCCTGAGTGTGATTAAATAACCGTACAGTTGTTAATGGTGAGTAGATCACAAAAGATAAGTAGAAGTTCAACAGGCATAGTAGTTGGGAAGGATTTTCCTAGAAAAGGGAAAATAGAAGATTATAAATCAAGCCCTGAAATACAAAAGCAAAAGCGTGCAGGGATATTTGAATGATATTTTGGCATGAGAGGTGTGTGCCTATAGGTTACGGTAAGTTTTAAAAGATTTTAAATGTCCCTCCACAACATAGAGATTGAATCTGGCGCTCAACATAACTGCACTGAGGAACTCTGAGCAAGATGGCAGCCTCATGTCTGAGGGTGTTTTATTTCAGCTTTTGTAGTTTTTCTCTTGAA